GGGGGGGGGGGGGGGGGGGGGGGGAACAAGCAACAAGGTAATAATTTGTTCTACATTTTTCAAAAACTAAAATTCAGATATGAAAGTCAAATATGTTTCTGTTCTTAGTGAGATACACAGATCTTTTGATGGGGAGAAAAAAGAAAGCTGAACTAGGTAGATTTTATATTAACAAAGCTTTTCTTCTTAGCTATTTCAATGCCAAGTGGAATTTTTTATTGAAGCACATTATGTTATAATTTTAGAAATTCTTGCCTTCTTATTTGATGACCCAAGTTGTAGTGACTTGGAATAATTTTTACTGTATTTGAGCATTTGTATTCAAACGAGAATGAGATTAGAGGGCAGTATGCCTTTTTGTTCTTTCTTACAAAAAAGTACAAACCTAATTAGGATAAAGGAATATAAAATGTTTTCAGTGGTAAATACATTGATCTATCATTCCTGTTTGAAAGCTAATAACAGTCATTTCTTTAAACATAGTTGATACTAAAATACTGTCTTTAAAAGTTCATCCTGGAGCAGAATTTAGTAACCAAATTAAATTCTAAAAATAGACAGTGGTATTGGAAATGCTGACAGACTCTTAATTCTAATATCACTAAAATAAAACATTGCTAATTTAATGCCCTGTCAAAACTCTGTAAACATTTTCCAAACATAATGTACAAATTATTATAAAATGTATTATTACTTCACTCGTTGTATTAAACTTTAATATTTCTATTTTATTAGCCTAATATTGTGAGCTAATTACAATATGTTTAAAATGAGGAATAATTAGTGAGATATATTTAATCATGATGATAGTTTTGTAAGAACAATCATTGTGTGTGCCAGTTTTTAATATGGAAGATCCATTCAACACATTAATACCACATGTAGTGCTGTTTCAAGATTACTTTTCTTTCTGTTTTCTATTTGCCAATATGAAGACAAATAACAATATTCTAATATTTACTCAGAAATAAGTAGAGGCATGCAAAACATATCAAGATGGGAAATTTCCAACCTAGAAATGTTCTGTCATCAAACTGAGTGATTCTTGGTGGTCCATCATTGAAATGAAGATCATAATGTCCCATATGAAGGATGGGCCACTTCCAAAACAGGTAGTCCCCCAGTTAAAGAATGAGTTCCATTCCCAAGGTCTGCCCTTAAGTTAAATTTGTATATAAGCTGGAACAGTATTATTTTATAGTACTGTATAAGTAGTATTGTGTAATTAACTCGAACCATTGTGTATTTAACTCGAATCATTGTATATTTAACTTGAATTTTACTACAATAGGATTCATTCTTAACTATGGGTCATCCATAAACCGGACGTTCTTAACCCTGGGGACTATCTGTAAACTCAGAGTGGCCCATTTTGAGATCAGGAAAGGATATTCCAAAATCATTACATTTCAAGCTCAAGATATTTAGCTCACCTCTAGAAGTAAATTCTTTTGACAAATCAGGATTACTCCTATGTGAACATGCATACTCTGGATAGGCAATTTCAGCCTAATGTAAAAAGTCCTTTAAAGATTCAGATCTCTGGGACATCTGTCCCTTCCCGAGCAGTTTGCTGTCTATAAAGGAAGGTAGAGAGAAAATGGGAAAAAGAGAGTGTCAGAAAAAAAAGAAAATAGATAATCCTACTCATTTGGCTGGGGCCTGCTCCTGCTTGCTTTACCCTTCCCATCACTGGCATGTGATATGATCCCCAGGAGATTTCTTTTGTAAATATGTGGTGTTCAACAACTTGAGTTTTCTACTCCATGGGTTATTTTGGAATCTTGTAACTTCAGTTAGTGTTCATGTAGTTTGGAACATTGGGCACAGAAAGTTTTAATAAACAGTTTAACATTTATTTCACAGAGCTACACATTTTTTTCAAAACCTAACATAGCACTGTTGTCAAAAAGTAACCCTGTGTTCAGAAGAAATGGTTTTAATAAAAAATGAATCCAGTGCAAGCTTCGAAATATATTCCAATAGAATAAATAATTCCTTTGGTTTTACTATGTTCTTGTGGTGTTATAAAGATTCAATACAATACTTTTAATTGTTTGAAATGACTGACAGGGTTGCTTTTTAATATTTTTAGTCCTCCAAGCAGTGTACCTCTTAATGTAGTTGTATTTCATATGTCATTGTATGCACTTACACTCTAAAACATCCAGCAAAATGATACATATGAGTTAAGGACATTTTTTTTAGAAAATCAGATGTTGATCATTAACATGATTTATTAATGTGGAGTGTTGCTGCTATGAAATTTCGTCTAACTTGTCCAAAGTTGTAACAAAATAGACTATATAAACAAACTATCCTGTTGTAAGCTATCCTTCAGTTGCTTCTGCTTTTAGAGGAATATTTCTGGCTGCACTTTGGAAGTTTTGATTTCTGCAAGTTACATATTACTTAAGTGAGGGGCTTATTATAAGGATACACACTTCTAGCTGTGGTCAGATACTGGTATCTAGCCATGTCAGGTTGTCTCACATGGCTATAACACTGTTCTGACTGTAAGTAAGAAAGCTGAAAAAAATGTCAGATAGGTGAGTTCAGTGTTTCTCAACCTCAGCAACTTTAAGATGGGCGGACTTCAACTCCCAGCCATTCCGCAGCCAGCCAGCCAGCCATATCTATCTATCTATACATAATGTAAGCATTACCTGAAGCTTTATTTGTTATGCAAAATTCTTTTCTGCCTTTATGCTGCAAATGTCACATTTCTATACCAGGGCCATTATTTCAGAATGCTTTGTGTTTTACTGAAACGTAAGTAAGTAAATAATACACAGTCTGAAGAACTACCTAATAATAATAACTGTTAAATTTAGGGAACACCTTGGACTTATCAGAAAATAAACTGACAGCCAAATGGGAAAAACTCCTGGGACCTGATTTTGAAGTTATGGTATGTTATCCATATACACTCATTAAATTACTGTGAATGTAATGTTTTTTATTGTTTTCGAGAAATGAGATCTTAAATGAGATTATCTGTTTTTTTCAGCAGAGGATTAAACTTTCAGCAGTTTAGTACATAGGGAATAATTTAAGGGGCAGCTTAAATTATTTAGTACATAGGGAATAATTTAAGGGGCAGCATTATAGAAATTTGGTCATTAACACATAGTGAGCCTAATCAATAATAACACTGTTTCTGCAGACTCAGTTAGGAGCTACTTCTCTTGAAGCAACAATGTCAGTTGCTTCAAGAGTTACTTCTCTTAAACCAACCTTTAAATGGTTTCAAACTATGTAGCATTCCTCTTTCTTTTGCCTAAAGAGCAACATCACTTTATTTCCCAGTGCTTCAATCCCTCATTGTTCCAGGAAGGTATCTGTAATATATTTTAGTCCATTTTTTTCCGTTTGAAATACAAGTAGCTCTTTATTGTACCCATGAAGCCTTACTGTAATTTGATTTTTAGGTTGTCACAATAGATACACCAATTGCAGATGATGCTGAGCTACAGAAATATTCAAAGGTATTGGATCTTTTTTCCCCCCCCTTTCAACACATGTTAGCAATGGAAACAGGCATGGATGTGAATCAGCTTCTCCGATCAGAACGTTTTTGACACTTTGCATGTTTTATGATTTTTGTGCTGCTCTTATGTATCAGGCATGAATTTATTCAAGAAACTACTTGGTCCTTAATTTTTGCAAATATATTTTACAGCTTTGCTTCTTAAAATTCTTTGTAGTGCTTCCCTGGCATACCCTCTGTTTAGGATTGGCACTGAAAAGAAATGCAGTTAATATACCTAAGCCAGAAACATTTTAAGAGATGTTCTGTAAATCAAACCTTGATTGGAAGCAACATTGACTTGCAGTACTTGCATACAGTAATAATTATGAATTCCAGAAAATCCAATCTCTATATTATCTGCATGCTAATGTATGTATCCAGTTCAACTTGGCTCTTGCTGCCAGCAGAAATACATTGTTTAAATTGAGATTATTTTTTTTTAATACTTAACAAATTGGACTCAGAAACCAGGATTTATTATTAATTTATCCCTTCTTTTATGTATTAATTTATCCACTTATTTTATAAATTTAAGCCTTATTTGAACAATGTTCAAAACTTTTCTTCCTGATTTGTTTAAGTACATTAGGCAGAGAGTGGTGAGAAGTAGTTGTCGAATCTAACATTTTTATTCTACTGAGACAGGTTTTTGGTCTATGCGGTATTTGTCTGTTTCTCTGTTGTTTAAATGTGTACCATAAAACCCATTTTAAATATATTTAAAAATATATTTTCACAGACAAATCCAGGTGATCATGTCACATCCAGGCCATCCATGCATCCCCCGCTACTATTTTATAATTGCTGACAATCTGGGAATTTAAGGGCTGTTAGCTAGACTGGCAAGTAAAAGAAAAACAAGAATAAAAGAAAATCAGAAACAAAAAAAGAAAAAGAAAGCAATGGCAAAGGCAAAAACAAAGGCAATGGCACTTCTGTGACTTTGTCAAGAAAATTACATGGATGCATTAACAGGAGTTGAGATGAACTTGAGAGCATCATTGTCCTTTTATCAAGAGATATTAAAATAAAAATAATAAATCAATTCAACTCATTACTAAACTAAAATAATATCCAGTTGATTTGAATCTCACAGAGCTATAGAGTCCAATGTACATTCTCTTTACATTTTCCTGTTTGACTAGTCTCTGTGATTTATTTATACAGCTGCTGCCCATTCACACATTAAGGCTAGGAGTTGAACTGGATACCTTTGAAGGACATCATTACATCTCTTCCATTGCTGCAGATGGCCCAATCGCTAAACTTGGCTTACTGCAGTTAGAGGATGAGCTTTTAGAGGTACGATTCTTAAGTAGTATGTTATATGAAAAATACTGTTTAATTTTTAATAATCAATGTTGTATCATGGAGTGTATGTTTAAAGTGCATCATAATGCCTTTTAAGATACCTAGATTAGCTAGAGATGGGAAAAACAGAAATTATATCTTCAAGAGCCCCTGAGCAATTGCAGATACAGTGTGTCCCTACACTAGAAGTCTCAACCTCTGTTTAGGAGATGTTTTTATGACAATTTTTTTGAGTATACAAAATATTGGTTGTAAAGGTTGTCTCCATTACTGATCCAAATCTTTGATTATACCCAGAGGTTGTGATTTCAGTTTCATTTCCCAATCCCCCTTCGTTGCTTAATGTAACACTAAGTCTTTGGCTTATTTAAAATGTTTCCAGTATTAGCCTACAGCAATTATTTAAAATAGAAGCCCTGAAATGTGTGTATGTGTGCATGCGCGCATGTGTGTATATAGATCTAATTTAGAATGACTTGGTTTACAATAGAATGCCATTGTATGTTTCTAGAAGAAAATGATCTAAGGAACTATAAGACAGTTGAGAACTCTTCCTTTGAGTGTGCAGAAACAGATTCAATCTTAGATGCCCCTTCCCAGATGGCATGGACATTTGTGTGGTTGTTGCCTCACTGACAGTCTGATCTCTGTAGAGGCAAAGAATATATAGGTTGGAAGAACAACTTGATCTGCAGCATGAAAAGATTTCCCACTCCGAAGTATACCTTGAAAACTACAGAAATACACTTGAAAACTACAGAAATATAATTTTCTTCTCATTGAAGTCAGTGGGAGAGAAATATTTTTAAAATGTGGAATAAAAGCATTTCCTCCCTCCAATTTACAGTGGAATTTAGCAGAGCTTTGGATTTACTATTCAATTCCACCCCCAATGTATGTTTTCTTATAGACCAGCTCTGTAAGTACTGAAAGGTTTCTATAATAGGCATTCACTTAATTATGATAGTAGTCAATCTAGCATTACACTTGTCTTTGTCACAGTCCTTCTCGTGATATCATAACGTTATTGTGAAGAACAATAAGATTAGCAAGAAATGAGATTAGAATTCTAATCTAGATTAGTTTTATTCTACCAAGAGGACACAAAGTCCTCATATTTTAGCTCCTGTGACTAGGACTTAAATAAAATCATATCACAGAAGAAGAGTCTGAATGCATCTTGTATGTTCAGAGAGAGAAACTTACCTCTTATTAATGGAACTTTATTGTCACAGAAGTGATGTCCATTCTGATGATGCCCATGTTTTTCATCCTCACTCATGAGTCAGTGGACAAACAAAAAGAAAAGTGTTATATTTGCCTGGAGACCTGGTGCCAAATCACCACAACCCATTCTACCTCTCAAAATATTTATGCAAAAAGGATGTTGTTTTGGAAAATGTAGTTGTCTGAATGGCTGTCTGCCACATACCATGTTATATGGAATAGTTCCAAAATGTGGCAGAATATACGAGGATGTGGAACAAGTGATAGGTCTGTCTGAAAACTGAGGCTATTAACTTCTGATAAATGGTGCTTACATGATGCAGCCTTTCAGATGGATTAATCCATTTGAATCATGTGTTAATCGTGACTACTCAATGCATACATATGCACACAAAATTTGTGATTTCTTTTGCGAAAAAAACCTCTGTAAAATGGCAAACACATTCTAAAAGGAACAAATAATCTACAATTCAGCAAGAAATTGATAGATTTAATTGTAGTATTTCATGAGTATGGAATTGAACTATTCTATATATAGTGAATAACCACTCCGAGTAAAGTATACATGGATTTGTTTACAGAATGACTGATACCACAACACCCAAGTAGTTACTTGTAGAAACACTATAACTATAACCAGTTAATTTGGAGTTTGCCCTAGCTGGTAACTCTCTCTCTTACACCTTTCTGTTGGTTGTCCTATACATCAGTCTGAATTGTCTACAAGTCATTGTGGACTTTATGAGCCACAATACTGTGGGGAGGCAAGGCTGCATAGAACTAACAGGGCCTACCCAGACATTTATTTTTCTCCAGGTTTTCAAGAAATTCAATTTGTGGAAAGAACCAGAAAAGAAATAACAGTAAGAAGAAGAGTGTTAATACGGCAAAACCTTAACAGTTAACCAATGGTTCTCTACATGCTGCTGAGCTACAATTCCTAGCATCCTTTAATGTTCACTGTGCTGGCTGGGGCTGAAGGGTGTCCTAATGCAACAATATCTGAAGAGTTACAGTAAAACAGGAGATGAGAGTAGAAAGGCCAAGGAGATCAAGTACAACTAAATAAATGCTATTGATTACTTTAGTGGTTTAAGGAAGCCATCAGTTTCCTGAAAATGGTGTGTGTGAGTGTGTGTGTGTGTGTGTGTGAACCTTTTCTCCATCATTGGAATTGTAAATGAAGTACATCTATATATGCTTTGGAGAGGGGGGATTGCACTTGCCTATCACTGAAACACTAGTAAGGAGTGAAATATTTATGGTAAACCCAAATAATTTGAAAGTATATGCCAGCTTATGAATGGTGTCCTTTCTTTCCTTAGGTAAATGGTGTCCAGCTGTATGGGAAATCCCGCCGTGAAGCTGTTTCTTTTCTTAAAGAAGTTCCCCCTCCATTTACCCTGATTTATTGTCGGCGTTTGTTTGATGATGACACAGAATCTTTTGTGGATGAACCTACAGCTACTGTTGCTGATTGTCTAGAACCAAAGGTATTAAAAAAAACTCCACAAGAAAAAATGGCATGTTTCCAAGGATTTCCCAAAGAGTATTAATTGACTTTGCTCCTGCTTTCGGTATTGGTTATTTTGCATTTAATTTTCACTATGAATAATGAATGTGAATGATTCACAAGCCATTTTTCTACTGCTCAGAATGTCATGTTTTTTAAAAGTAAAATTCTTAGCCACATGATAATGGAAAATGCTCTCCTTTATCTGCCTTTTGAAATCTTTATTATGGGCATGTATAAATGTGCATATTCATTAGCATACTGCTTTCCCTTCTTTAAATGGTTCATGAAAAGTTATTATCTCTGATACTATTAGGAGTATAGCAATAGAAGCTTTGCTGTTACCTTGTAAATGATTAGATTCTCTCTCCTATTATCATATTTACTATCATAATACTCTAATAAGCAGTATTAGAGTGGAAAATATTAAACAGTATTATATTGAAGCAGGCAGTGCTCAGAGTTCATGGTGCTTCTTCTATGATCTGAGCTGTTGAGATTCCTTCCAGTGTTCCTACAGATATCCTATCTGGATCTTGATGTCAGGTTGCTGGCTAGCACTCCACAATCTAGAGTCATAGACCCAAATTTCTAGTCCTTCTGGCTTGTGATTTATCTATGCAGTTTATATAATCCATTTTGCTACTTAAAGAAGCTGAAAGAACAACCAAAGTAGTTACAATCTGATTTCCATATTAATTCTTGTAAAATAATCTCACTAAAAGATATTCCAGAATTGGTAGGTTTGACAGTGTTAACCTTCTGCTACATCCATGCTATTTTTGAATACTCTTGAGCACCTAAGTTAGGATCCAGAGCAAGATAAGTGGTAAGTGTTAAGTTCTGCTCTTTAGGCAGAGGTTCCACCTCAGAGTGAGGAAAGTCTGGGGAAGATCATTTCCAAATGCTCAAGTGGCTATTTCTAGAAGGAACAATCTATCATCTTCTGTTCAAGCTGTGGACATTGTGTTCATGTATCCATCAAGATGTAATAAGATTTAAAATGTTTTATTTGTGTAGAGCAATAATGACTAACCTTCCTTTTTTTCTTTTCCCAAGTGGGAGTTGTTTAAAATGGAACATTTTTGAACTTCAAGTTTTGAACTTGATAGTGCTAAATATGTACTTCTGAATCTTACATTTTAGGATTTACAATTTAGCAACTGTAGTTCAGAAAACATATCTTCATTTAGAAATATTTCATGTTCATGACTTTACTACTTTTAATGTAATTGGAAATTCCTGGTGGCTTATCTAGGCAAGTAGCTAGAAACATCATTGTAATAATGATACAAAGTATGTAAATCAATGAAAGGACATGCTGACGGTGTACATCCCATTCATCTCTCTACAGTTTAATAATGGAACAAAAGTTTTGAATTATACCTAATCTCTGATTCTCCATTAGCTGATTGCTTCCATCTTGTGAACAAAGAAATTGATGGTAACTGGAAGATTACAGTTTTAGCTATTAAACTTTTTAGAGGTCCCAGATATTGACTTTTACTATTTTCATTGCAAAGTAAATATGTGCTCTTGCTGTTCCTTAGGTTTCCTGCTTTGAATAGCTTATCAGTAAACAAAATACCAATTTAACTGATGAAAAGACACTCCTCTGAATTCATAAATGTCCATTTCTATTGTTTATTTTTTTAAAAAAATCAACTGAAAATACATTGTACACATTCTTTCATCTTTGTATAAAAACATTCAGTATTATAGCTGAGTATCTGTTGCAAATAGTTTTCCCTCTCAAACAGCCCAACTTGATAGATCTAATTATTTTTTTTTTCGTTCTTCCCAAAAAGGACTTCTGTGTAAGTTAGAATCAAATTAAGATATAGCCATTGTTAAAACATTCCGTGGGGGACGTGGTGGCGCAGCGGCTTAATGACGCTGAAAGCTGCCGGCCAGAAATGGTCGACACTTCAGTGGTTTGAGCCCAGCTCCGCGCAGCAGAGTGAGCTCCTGCTTCCTCCCCAGCTCTTGACAACCCAGCAGCTCAAAAACTTACATGAGTAGATAAATGGGTACTCTCA